CAGTTACAGAAGAGAATATGAAAGTAGTGCAATATCTTTGCAAAGCACTTCTCCTGCTGATGATGCGAATCATAGATCTCCATCCTGCCCCATTTTACTGTTGTAGCCTTATGAATCATTTAGCCTCTGTCATCGTTGATGACAACCGCAGACAAAAAGGACTGGACTATTTCCCCCCTTAATGAGTCATGTTCGTTTGATTAACCTTAGTCATTCGGTTACACAAAATTTTACTGCAGGTCCTCCATAATCGGTCCAATACACTGGCTCCTTATTCGCACGTTACATGTTCTTCGTAAGAATGACTTTTTCGCAGAGGAATATTTCGAAAACACATAACGTCAGGGAAAGCTATGTATGTCTTAATGTAATGAGGTATTGCTTATCAACGAAGGAAACGTGAACAATCAAATTTCGCTTGTTTGAGAAAAAACGTAGGCCTTGAAACTCTAGAAATACTGCTGGTAGGCAGTGCTCCTTACTAGCAACATTGAATTGAACAAGCATTTCTCAAGACATCTTCCTACTTTAGCTCGAACTACTGCCGATCTCACCACCAATTTTGGCACACACCTTCTACCAACATTTCCATTGCTGCGGAACCTTGATGAATGATTTATAGTTGTAGCTTCCTCAATCGCAGTACGATGTTTGTCTTGATGTTTTTCTAAAGAAGGATAACATAAACAAGACAATTCCAATTTCTTTCGACCAAGTTATGAGAGTTTCTGAAATGAAACTTTGAAGCTTCGAAGAAGTCTTGGGGTTGGTCTGAAAAAGAGAGCTATTGCGAATCCTTTGCTTGGTAAACAAAACGAATCACTACTGTTACTGACAAAAACTTTTTTTCAGTCCGAAGAAGAAAGTAGAATGATAGGAAATGTAAAAAAATCTGATGAAGACTGTAACTACCTCGTCCGTTTTTCCCCAGCTCCATGTTTACTGAAACCTCTATGTCTTTAAGGATCCAGAGCTTTCTTTTTCACCCACTATTTTTGGAAAAGCAAAAGACTTGGCCTGCAAATCCTGATGAATTCTGGTGTTCCTTTGAACTTGATTGAAGCAAGCCACTATGTCAATGCAAAAACACTAGGGCGGATCATAATACTCCATGCGACTTCTGAAGTGCTGTGACAGTAGAATAAGGAAGGAGGCAAAAGATTTGGTTACAACATTCGATGCATCCGAGTAATTTTCGATTTCAAGTTAGTCGCACATAAAGGTTCCGTAACAAATTGAATGGCAAGAAGTTTTTACTCCATGGCTCTCTGATGTGAATGATAACATGGTTCATTTGATCATGAACAGTCCTGCTGATCCTACTGAAACCGAAGTTCAAAAGGAAATAGCGTTTACAGGTCCCAAAACGTTTTGAATCAGTGATAAATGCGCTGGCACCGTCTACAGACAAGTTTCGGGGCCACATGACCCTTCACCTCTTTTTGTACATATTCGATATCATTTCGAACGACTTCTCCAAGTTTTCGTCACATTTTGCGCGCCTCTTCTGTGTGATAGATTCTATCATATCAAAAAGTATGGTAAATATGTTTCTCATGGGGCAGAATCAGAGAATGGGCCCAGCCAGGCCTTGAGCAAGAGGCTATCCCATGAAAAGCGAAAGAAAGGTGAGAAAGGTTATCATCAAGGTGAGTTCCAAAAGAAATTTCAAAACGTATTGAGCCTTGAACCTGTACTTTCCAAGTCCCGTCTGCTTGACTCATCGCATTACCAAAACGTCATCCAATTTCCTCCTACTCGATCTTTCTCAGGTTTCTTACGGAGGACTGCCATTAACCTCACGCTAAACCACTTATGGCAAGCGATGATGAAAAACCCACTAAAGAAAACGGATAAAACAAAATGAGTCATGACTATGGTGCCTGGCGTTGAGCAATCAAGTATTGGGATGGTCAGTACGCACTCGACTTCTAATCATGATCATAGCGGCATTTTGAACCTTATGTGGCCTTGAGGTGGTCAGGCAATACCAGTTCCATCATCGCCACTTTTATATTCGCTGACCGATCAGATTGCAGTTAACCGACCACGTAAGTATAAAATGCTTGGTTGGTGTTTTCAGAACCATTACTTGATTCGATCATGTAGAGATGATGGTTGGACCAGTAACAATACAATTCGATCTTTTTGATATAATTGTCGGAACATCTATTTGGGGTTCATCAATCGATCAATCTGCATATCCCACTTGTTTCCCTTTTCGTCACCTCATTTCATCACCTGTGTGGTTTTTGTGTGGCGGGGTCGGATCTGTCGCCGACGTCATTGTTCAATGGAAAATCCATTGTCGACGTCGTTGTCGTCGTCCCTGTCGTTGCTACCACGCCCTGTGAGTCACGCCCTACCCGCGCCCTGTGAGTCGCGCCCTATTACAGCGTTTATCGTGCGCACTCAGGCTCCCTGTTCCATAACTACACAGTAGTCCCTTTTTCGCTGGTTCGTCATCTCTCCCACACCCACACCGCTGCTATCAAGTTTGCTCTCTGCTTACTAATGAGCACCAACCAGTCTATTACAAACCCGACCATTCATGCTATAGCTGTCTCCTACCTCGAATACTGGTGATCTTCATAGTAATGTCTTCAGGAGTTCCCCTTTCGGTATCGTTAAAGCTGCTTGNACCCCCCCCCCCCCCCTCCCTATATCATGTGGTTCTTAGAAAGTAGAATCGGGGTGACTCCTAAGTTGTTCATGCTTAATCGTAGTGTAAACTAGATCCCACTTCCCAGTTGTTCAAGTTCTTCTTTTCGCACCACTTAAGCAGTGATTTCGAAAATGTGATCGTGAGTAATGGGCGGGGGTTTGAACCACCCCATTAGCTAAAGGTAGTTTCTCAGAAAGGAGTGATCTGGTTTAGGGCTGGCTCCCTGGAGTGTAATGGGAGGGCAATTCGATTGAATGCCTTGGAAATTGGCGATGGCTGACAAAGACTTGCGCTACTATCATTTCTCTATGGCTCCTTGTTTTCGTCATAATTGGTGGCTTCAATGTTTCTACGTAGAAAACAATCTTTTTCCGTGCTTCTTGCTTAACATTTGACTTCCCTGAATTTTGTTTTAGCTTGAAAAAAAGCATGACATAACACTTGCTAGTGCTTGTAATATTCTTACACTCCTTTGACCGTGACAATCTTTCTCGAGCACCCCCACTCTTCTGATTGTGAGTTGCGTGGCAGGTCTGATAACTTATCAGCCAAATTTCCGCTGGTTAATCACGGCCAGCCCCCTTGATTTTGCCCGATGACTTGAGCTAGTTCCATTATTTGCATTTCTTCTCACAGCCTCTCGTGGGATTTGGCATTTCGATCTTACTGCCGAGTCATCACACATCGTTTTTTCCATTTCTTTTGATTTATTTCATACAAACCTTCTCAATTCAGTCTGTGCGAGAACAAACTTTATGCGAGGCAATAATCACCTAGTGGCGTCAGCGAAAAGTCCTGGTAGTCGGGCAGGGAAAACATTCCATCGGGTTTTGGCAGGGACCGGTTCGTGGGAGGATGTTTATCGACGTTTCCGGTCGATATAATTATTTACATATTACTGGAACTGTTGGGAAATAGAAAAGTCGACGATTCCCGTTCGATGATGAAATATTTCTGCAACTGTATTATTTCATGTTAATCAAATTCTACTAGTTTTCTGCCAACATTATAAATGGTAAAGTTAGTGCTCTGACTGTTTTAGTTACAACATTCTTGTGCCGTGCGAGGTTGTTGGGTGGAACATTTATTGATCACAACGGCCTAACGTTTCGACGTTCTCGTCTTCTTCAGAGGCACACTGATAGGCGTGTTCTACCAGATAGAATGCCGGACATGTGGTCAGCATACATCGGAGAAACGAGAAGACAAC